GTCCTCGCCCGACTGGAAGCTGACTTTAGTGCCCAACCACCAAGTATCCCTGCAGTGCCCAACCAATGAGTATCCCTGCCCTGCAGTGCCCAACCGCAAAGTATCCCTGCGTTGCCCAACCGCAGAGTATCCCTGCAGTGCCGAACCGCAACGTATCCCTGCAGTGTCCAACCACCAAGTATCCCTGCAGTGCCCAACCACAGAGTATCCTTACACTGCCCAACCGCAAAGTATCCCTGCAGTGCTCAACCACTAAGTATCCTTCCAGTGCCCAGCCGCAAAGTATCCCTGCAGTGCCCAACTGCAAAGTTCCCTGCAGTGCCCAACCGCAGAGTATCCCTGCAGGGCCCAACCGCAAAGTATCCCTACAGTGCCCAAGCGCAGAGTATCCCTGGAGTGCCCAACAGCAAAGTATCAATATTTCTTGCAGCGCATTCGCAGTGCTGCAAGGAAGACAGTTGAGGGGGGCAGGGAAACGTTACACTTCTTGTGCAATGACGGTTTTAGGGTGGGGATGCTCGAAGTAAATATTTTTTTCTGATTGTTTTTTCCTGAGAAGGGACTCAAAAAGGAGCTATGTAATCGCAGCAATTCTAAAGCCTAACACCACATTAGCTCTCCTCTCCCTAACCCTCCCAAACATCACACCCCAACATCCCAAACAGCACCAGAATTCCTAAGCCCCAAAGTTCGTAAGCCCTCAAGATTCCCAGTGATGAGGTGCTATCTCATTCTCCGTGTCCGCGTTTGCCGTGCTGGCCATGCTCTGTGTCGCGCTGTGGCCTGGGCTTATATGAGGCGGTTCTCCAAAAGGGTGCCCTTGGGCATTGGGGCCTGAATTCCGTGCAGGTCTCCTTTGCCTTAAGTGTACTATGTTTTTATGTTGGCAAATGTCTTTATTTGGGTTTTGCCGGGTTTGCGTCAGGGTAGGCAAGGCCAATGCAAGTTTATGGTACCCGATAGATTTCCATCCCACGTTTCACCACATTTGCTGGCAGGGAGGGTATGACATCGTCCATGTTGGACAGCATGTCTAGAGCTGGGCACATCCATGGACGAGCCATCATGTGCCCATGTTCGAGAGTTTCCCATCATCACAGCATCCATACCCACTTGATAATCTTGTACCTGTTCAAGAGCACGCGAAGACCAAAGAATCAGCTTTGCCGCGCTAGTGCAAGGATTGTTCCCATTAGTCCAACCTACGCCCCATTAGTCCAAGGATCGTTCCCAGGCTAATGGTGTGAGGAGGTCTGATTCAATTTTATCATCACCCCATTAGTCCAAGGATCGTTCCTATTTTTCCAAAGAGCGTTCCCAGTAGTCTAATCTACGCACCATTGGTCCAACGGTGTGGTGGGTTCTGATCTAATTTTATCATCGCCCAATTAGTCCAAGGATCGTTCCTATTAGCCCACGCTATGCCCCATTAGTCCAAGTGTGTGAGGAGTTTGATTTAATTTTATCATTGCACCATTAGTCCAAGGATCGTTCTTAGTAGCCGAAGGATCGTTCCCATTAGTCCAAGCTACGCCCTCTTAGTCCAATTGTGTGAGGAGTTCTGATCTAATTTTAGCATCGCCCCAGTAGTCCAAAGATCGTTCTTATTAGTCCAAGCTATGTCCCATTTGTCCAAGCTATGTCCCATTAGTGCAAGCTAAATCACAATAACGTTCGTGTTCCGAGAGCATCTGAGAACCAAAGCAACCGGCGCGCGCCTCAAGAAGTTCAGCAAATGAGCAGAAAAAAGTCACAGCCGAAATGCCAAAATATCATAAGATTCGGACCCAGCCGAAAAGGAGCATGTTCTAACCTGAAACACCCCCAAGTATTGTAATTGCCGTAGATTCCGTGCCTCCTGCACCTTCTCCGTGCGAATTATCCTTGTGTCCGAAATAGTGCCAGCACCCCGCGGTTAGCAGCATTCCGAAAAAACGCAGCAGGTTTTTTTCAGGGCTCGAAGTCCCTATAACTAAGCCGAAGCTGTGGCGAGTTTTCCGTTCTCGCACCAAAAGCAGGACAATATTCCATACGGCGGGAAGTTTATCTAAGCGCTTTAGATTAGGTATACAAGTGTTGTGGGGACTGCTAGGGTCAGCCATAGAGTTCAAAGCACACACGTCGCGAGCTTCCGCAAGCGAAGCTTGACATCACAAGAACACACTCCCCATTCCGACGAATTCCTTCATGCACCAGGGCAGAATGCCATGAATCCCATCGATCCTGGTTACCCCACCTGAGTGAAACATGAGGGTCTTGTACTGGAACCGGCGACAGAGGTGCCCATGCAATGAACAATTCATAATATTCTCGTTATCGTTCCAATGCCATTATGGTATAGCATACTCCAAGAATTTCCAGTGCCTACAGTAGCTCATGCTTTGGAATTCTGTTGAGCAGTCGATGTCGGCCGCACGCCGAAGCATGCCATAGTGTGAGTCCCCTGAAAGTCCATCACTAGTCAGGCCTTGACAAGCACTTGCTCCATGTTTCGGGAACCAAAGGCTGTTTATGCGACGACGCACCTACGGGGGAGAGCTTGGCGGGCCCCTGCTCGCGCAGAGGCACTTGCGTGCCTATGTAGCTGTAGGAAGCGGTCGGCAACATCTGGAGCCTATGTTGGGGTTACATGCACTGGGAGTTGAGAGCGTATGATAGCTTCCGTGTCTCATTTGTTTCCTGGTAACCAGAAAACCGTTTGCATGCACCGGGCAACATCCCATGGACGCATTGCCAGGAGAGATAGCGTTCTTTGCTTCTTTTTATGGGTCCTGCCGCTTGGCCGCACTTGCTGCGAGAAGTTCTGCGTTGCTTTGCGAAGTCCACATGAAGCCGTGCTGTCCTCTGAGGTTTATCGCAGCGAACGTTGTGCTGCCTGGCCGTGTCAGCTTTTTTTTCGTCCAATATGAGTACTGATTGGTGAATAATCCGTCTGCCGCGCGCATGGGCTTCGTCATTCCTGTTGTTGCAACCTTCGTGGTTGCTAAGTTTACCATTTGGCGACGATTCATGGTAAGCACAAACGTCATGACAAGCACATCCTCATCCCTACCACCATGTTCAGTTCTTGTCAGCTGCCGATGATCCTAAGGTATGGCCTCTTGACGTGAGGGGTTAGTGTTAGCTTATTTCTGCTGACTGGGTTTTGACGCATCTGCAAAGCGACAGTGGCAACCAGCACCACCGTAACAACCACAATACACCTGACATGAGGATTGCTCTACATTACGAGTCCCTTGCCGGGGGTGCCTCTCGTGTTTGGATTGTCGTTTTGAGGAGCTATGGATCGAGAACTTAATTTTGAGCAATTCTCACTTTACGATACTGCTGATGCCAGCTGAGCACAGAGTGCCCAGCATGTACCTGCAGAGGTGTCCCGTACAATGTTCCAGGCATCCAAAAGAGCACCCAAAACCAGGTAACAGGTGCCACCCAGAGCAGCAAACGCGTCTGCACTGCACCAAGTGCCAGTGTGCCCGAAACAAAGACAGAGTGAGTAGCGCGCTGAGCAATGGGTAGTTCCAAGTAGGCTTCTTTATCAGCACCCCACGTAAGGTTATAGCATTATCAGCAGGGTACCCCTACGGCGTAAAAGTCTCAATCATAATTCCTCATGAGCGTCAAAGTAGAGGCAGTTCAACTCCCGAGCTTATGGGGGTGTTGTCTCAGTGCGTGAATGCTCCGATTTTTACATGCCAAGTGATGCTTCGTCACTGTTCTGTGACTTTACACGAAGAGGAAATAGCCATGGTGGTTTCTGAAATGGCGGGCCCTACAAGGTTCGTCCTAAAGAGGGGGACATCCTACGAAGGATCCCCAGGAGATTTTTGGAAACTGCCAGACAATGTCCTCTGAGGAGCTGGCAGCTGCCTCCACAGACAGGGATGTGCTTTGGGAAGATGAACACCTGTGGCCCTCCAGCTTAGTGGGCTTTGTGGTTATACGGGATGCCCCATACCTGAAAATTTCACATAGAAACCCGGAGGCCCAAAGCCCTCAAACTTTAGCACCAAAACCCACAAGAAATAGATGCAACAAACCCAAACCCTGTGAAGCCTGAGTCTTATCAGCAACTCTACGGAGCCGCGTTGTGGTCAGTTTCCATGCCATGTCCCCCTGGATTCTTCATTATTTGAGGTAGGTATCCTCACACCCTAAACCCTATGTATCCCCTATGAACTTCATGTGTCATAATCAGGGGTAATACCCAACATCATCTTATGATGTCAAGCTGTGTGGGCAGAAGTCAGCTACCGAAGGTCTCCAGCCTTGGGCTGCGGGACCTGTGCAGGAATATAGGGATAAGGGAAAAGAAAACGGAAACTATTGTGGTTTTAGGGGTTATGTAGGGATAATCGAAAAGAACATGGAAACTACAAGTAGAGCTTAGAGTTAAGCGTTGTGGTTTAGGGGTAGGTCTCAGGGTTTAGGCTTAAACGTTAATAGCTTAGAGCTGAGGTTTGGGAGCTTAGGGTTCAGGTCTTGCAGCTACCACGCTAGCCTTTTGCGTGACATATCCAGCATTCCCATGCATGATGCGGCGTTCAGGATGTTACAGTGAGGAATCCAAGCAAGTTGCGTGGTGCTGGGCTAGGAAATGACAGACGAGTTGGTGGGATTTTGCTAAAGCTCTACGTTTCGGTTAAGGTTGTCAGCTTGGTCTGGATAGGCTTGGGGTTTGAGACGTTTGGCGTACAAACTTTCCCAGATCCTGCAGCATTGGCCATGTCAGCACTCAGCATGGCGCAAACCAGGAGTTCTTTAAGGCTGAGGTCTCCAGGCACGAGTCTTCACACTCACAAGGCGATCCCATAGTGAGACATCGCTCTCTTTCGACTTTATAGCGTCCTGGAGTTACTTGAGGTAGGTTCATACTACAGACAGAGCCCAGAGGAGCCAAGAAGTATACATGTCCTTGGCGCCGTCAAGGTATGCAAATGCCACAGAAGCTTGCAGGATCTGATCGTTCTTACCAGCCTGGATAGATTTCACCGCCAGTTCCGCAACCTGCCTCAATGACGGTAAGACATATCCCATACCTCAGATCTCAAGGGAGCTCTAAGTCCTGGCATCATGAACAAACACAGCATCTTTGAGCCGAGATTTGGGGGAAGGCTGAGCCCCCACGGGCGCCTCCGCGCAACGTGGAGTCCCTCACTTGGCTACCAGAAACCCCAGTGATTGAAGGTTGCCGCAGAAACCGGAAGCCATTTCGAACAGCACGCGACCGTCAAAAAGCAGCTAGGGAAGGCATGATTGGTGGGATTCGCCCGAAGCGTTACGAAGTCCTGACCATATGAGAAGCTGGTGCTTAATCTGGGAGTCTTTTAAACAGGGGGATATATGGGTCCACCAGCGCAACCTCACGTGAGCCATGGTCCAATCTCTTGAAAATGCATTCCATGAATCTAGTAGTCCATCTTCATTTGAACGTGTCCATAGGGTTTCTAAAGGCCCGCATATTGAGAAACCTTGGAATCGCAGACGTATGTAGGGTGATGATTGGTCGCTTCAATGCTTCGACCCCAAAATGGTGCCCAGATTTTGTTCAATCCTAGCAAATATCGGGCACCCTGCAGTCATATAAGTCTAAGGGTGTTTTGAACAGTTGGAATCTCAAACCGTAGGCCCTGAGCCATAACAACACCCACGCAGGATCTTTGAGAAGGAGCGGGAGCAGCTACTAAGCTACGATGGCCATGCCTTCCTTTATTTTGCCAAGACCTAAGCTCAGGGTTGAGGGTTTTTGATGCACAACGCGTGCGGGTGTTGGGGTTTAGTCTGAAGGCTTGGGGCT